TTCTTTCTTTCTTTCTTTCTTTCTTTCTTTCTTTCTTTCTTTCTTTCTTTCTTTCTTTCTTTCTTTCTTTCTTTCTTTCTTTTTTCCCTATAATCAAAAGGCCTGGAATACTTTAAAGGCTCAGTGCATTTCCAAAACAAAGAAAAGCAAAGCAAAAGAAAATAAAAAACCCCAAAGATATCTTCTGAGCTGCTCTTTCTTCTTCCTCTTTTTCTTTTGGTGCCTTCAAGGATCGACTCCTGGACTAATCCCTGCAGTTTTCTTGGCAAAAGTTCAGGAATGGTTTGCCGTAGTCTGTTTATTATGGCTGAAAGCGAGTGATTAGCCCAAGGTCACCCAGCTGGCTTTGTGCCTAAGTTGGGACTAGAACTCATGACCTCCCCATTTCTAGCCTGGTGCCTTAAAACCACTACAACAATCTGGCTCCTGAGCTGTATTTGCATGTAAAACTTTCTTCCAAATTGCTTAATCCTGGCAGATGGAGCACTGATGAAACCCCAGGTGCTACATTTTGTTCAAAGCTTCAATTCAAAATAATAAGTAGTAAAGACAATGGCTATTTTCTTACTCATCTAGCACACCTTGCCTCCAAAAATGCAGGTGCATCACTAGAGAGCAGCAAAAAGATGCAGAAAACGTTTAATCATTTGCTGCCGTTTATTGGTCATAGAGATTGCGGCAGCCCAGGATGTATTGCAACTGATGACTTCCTGCTAGCCCTTCAAAGTTTGCATCACTTTATAGTTTGCACCATTTCAGCTGATCAAGCCTGGTTTCAGAGGAAATTTTAAAAAAATTGTATCTGCTTAATATCTCATCCTTTTTTGAGGTGGATGGAAAAGGTTAAACTTAAGAAAAGTTTTTATAGTTAATACGGACATAATTTAACTACGAATGAGAGAAGATTAAGTGAGCACTTACTTCGTGATATAGCTATCGTTACGAAACAGTATAGGGTAATAATATTGTTTCCAACGAATTATAGGAGCAAGCAGCTCAGTTTTAGCCATGATGATCTTTGAAATAATAATTTGAAAGTTATTGATTCTAATGTTAAATTGCTGAGCTTTTATTTATATTTTATTCCTTTTTATAGTTACCTTTGATCATTTTGAAATTCTCAGAGCCATTGGAAAAGGCAGCTTTGGAAAGGTATGTTTTTTGCAAACTATATACTTAGTTAACTACCTAATGAAATAGTTCCTTCTTATCAAATACGCATAAAATATTGTCCAGAGCTGCATGCCAATTTTTTCTAAAGGAGTTGCAACTGGATCCTTGTTCCTTATATACCTAAAATGTTCAAATAATATTAAAAAATATCGTATTGTTCATATTGATAACCCCAAACTTCTGAATGTGTGTGTGTGTGTATAGTTCTAGTAAATGCAAACCTTCTAGTAGAACAAATTCTGCATTCTGCTTCATGTTCCTCTTCCAATTCCCATCATGTTTGTTTTTGTAGAGGATTTATATGGAAAAAATATATTTCCACTTTAAGTCTGTTTTTAGCCACTGTATTAGATGTGAGTATTTATGAATCTCTTGGCTTGTATTGTTCTGTATCAGATACTATCTGCAGGATACATCTAAGCCAGTAATGTGACCTCCTGTAGATTCCATCACAGAATGGATCCCTTATCATATTTCCTACATAGTCCCAGGTTGCAAAACAAGAGGATGAATATCATTGTGTCTGTTGCTAAAGGCATCAGAAATTCAGCAGTTTAATCTCCTCCTTGGAAAAAGGAAACCTTATTCTAGCCTGCAAGCCATGGAGCCAAGGATTCTTGCTACAATTAACTGAAAACATTGTCCAGTCCTTCTCTATAGTTTTACCAGAGCACAACTTGTTTATTTATTTTAACAAATTTATGTAATCAAAACATTAAAAATCACAGTTAATAATTCAAAACGTAACCTCCCCACAACCCAGTCTGTAGCTGCAGCAAGAGAATCAGACAAACATTTGATGGACTCTAAATGGGATTCCTAAGCCCGCCGACAAAACCATGTCTTCAGGGTCTTGCAGAAAAACAACAAGATGGAACCAATCATACCTCTGGGGGAATGATGTTCCAAAGGAAGGGAGCCACCACAGACAAGACCTTTTTTCTAGGTTCCATCAGATGTACTTCCTTGATAGTTGGGGCATGCATGCAACATGCCCTACCTTCTGGTATGCTGTGTAGATGTAATTGGGGAGAGACCGTCTATAGTCTTGTATTTTCATTTGTTCATTTGTTCTCCATTTCATGTCAGAATTAACTCGTGAAGAATGATAGAGATCTTGCCCCAAATACTAAACACTACTGTATGCTATCTCAAGGACAAGTGATTGGACAGTGGTGAAGCCTAAGAAATGGAGAAATACAGGCTCTTACTACCTCTGGGTTAATTTAGCTAGGGATCAGATTACTAATTAGAAGGAAACTGTCATCATGAAAAGAAAATAAAAGGTAAAAGGAAAAAGGCAAGAGCTGAGGTCAGGCTGAGCTAGTTGCTGCCAGTCACCGTGGATGACTCTTAGTGCTTAACTGTTTAAAAAAGACTCTAAAATAGCACCCTCTACAGGAGGAGGCAGGAGAACAACGTGCTTCATCTAGTCTGACTTTTAAACAATGGAATATTTTCACCTTATTCCTATGCATCATATTTCCCATGCAAAGTACAAACTTCTGTATTGGCAATTTAGCAGTCTTGGTGGAAATATTAATGTAGGAAAACATAATTTCCCCAAAATGAGATTAGCCCAATCCCAAAAGACTCTTAAGACTGGGCTGTGTTATCAGTGTTGGGGCTTCCAGGGAACTGGAGATGTGCTCAGATGGCTCCTTTATCGAGATGATTATTTTTATCCTCTCTTTGCCTAGGGGTTTTTATGTTTCTTTTTTTATACTATTTATTTCTTAATATAGACATGTTATATGTCACTTTTATATTTGTGTGTTTTTAATTTGATTTTTATGTGCCTTCCAGAGTAACTGTGCTGAGATGGCTCTTGATATTTGATTAATAAGTAAATGATAAATCACTCATGGCCTGCTGGATTGAACCCCTGGCCCATCTAGTTCAGCCTTCTAGTTGGATATAGAGCCGAGGTGCCGCAGTGGTTAAATGCTGCACTGCAGGCTACTTCAGCTGACTGCAGTTCTGCAGTTCGGCTGTTCAAATCTCACCGGCTCAGGGTTGACTCAGCCTTCCATCCTTCCAAGGTGGATAAAATGAGGACCCGGATTGTTGTGGGGGGCAATATGCTGACTCTGTAAACTGCTTAGAGAGGGCTGAAAGCCCTATGAAGCGGTATATAAGTCTAACTGCAATTGCTATTGCTATAGTTCTCACCATGGCCAACCAGCTGCATAAGAAAGCCTACTAATTTCTCCGCAGATGGTCTTCAGAGGCAAATCACACACCTAAAAATGAAAATGAAGGGAAATGAAGTTGCAGCACTGAAATGTTAGCTTTTACTGGAGACAGGTTATAGAAGAATCTGCATGTCTGTTACATTCGTTCTACACATTCCATTTTATGGAACATGATACTTTGCCTTATTCCTTTAGGTATGCATTGTTCAGAAGAAAGATACCAAGAAAATGTATGCAATGAAGTACATGAATAAACAAAAATGTGTGGAACGGAATGAAGTGCGAAATGTCTTCAAAGAGTTACAGATCATGCAGGGACTGGAACATCCTTTCCTTGTGAACTTGTGGTAAGTAACACAAATTCCTTATGAGCATCCACCTATCAGAATACTGCAGCTTCCATTATTTTTCTGGGATTATGTTGCCTTGGCTTCTCTGTAAAGCGTAGTTTTGTTTGTTTTTTCTAACTACATGACGATTATTCATCCCTGCTGTTCTTCAGTGTTTATTGGTTTCCTCTTTTTTTTTGTTTGTTAAAATAACCCAGTTTTCTGAGCGGGCTCTGAAAGCAACAAGAGATTCTTTCCAAAGCTACCTGTGGTTCAAGCTAATACTTCAAGCAGGACCTTGATAATAGAGCCACTCTCCCCCCCACACTTTCATCTACTTCTATTATTTAGTTATTGCTAACCTCAGGATGCAAAATGCTGTATGTTTGATTTGTTGTTGTTCTTATTGTTCAAAAGAAGGAATTGTAATGTTTTCTTCAATGATGCTAGATCTAGCAAGGGATCTTTTTTGGACAGATTAATGTTGTAAAAGAAGGCTTTGATTAGGCAAAGAAATGATCCAGTGTTGAAATTTAGCAAAAATTCACATATTTCAGCAGAAGACTTAATTAGAATCTTAGTTCAGCTTGTTGGTTTTCTATGCTGAAGTGAGTAGACTAGCAAGCTTCAGTACTGAGTCAGTAATTTTTATGAACTAATATAGGTTACAGAGACTTATAATGATATTGAACTTAATAATAATGCAATATAGGTAATGATTATCCTGATTGTCAACAATATCTTTAAATCTATTTATGATTAATATTGGATATTCTATACAAGGAGGATAATATTTGGCATATTTTGTCCCTTGGAGAGGCTTCAAAGTGACATAGAAATGTTTAAAATTAAATTACTAAAACAATTTTAAAGGCATTAACTGTTTTAATATTTTCAAGTACTGGATCTTGTGGTTCTTTAAAATTTAAAATAGAGAGAAGGGGGAAAAACAGTTTATTAAATGTTGTAGGAAATCAGTCATGATGCTAATCAGTCTTGGCCTTCTTTCTTCTCTGGCAAACTGTCCATCTTTTGTTATTGGACCCAATATCCTTGTTTCAGATCCTTCAAAGTCACTTCTACACAATGTCACAGGGAAAACCATTGTCTGCACAATTCTGATCTTTGCAGATACAGACAAATCCTGCCATATGGATATCTTTTCCAAAGTTTTCACTGCTGCTCTGCCAAGCGCTGGTTGGAAATGTATTTCTAACACTTCAGTATCTTCATTGTCAATTCTATGACTGGTCATTGTAATGTTGGTTTTAGTTTTGCCTCTTTAATTTCACTCACATTTTTTCATCCTGTGCTTGGCCTTCATTTGCATTTTCAGCTGAGGATAAAAACTATGAGTATCTACCCCAAATTATCCCCACAATTGAATACCTTTCTCTCCTACGTCAAAACCTCTTTTATTGAACTGCAGCTCCATGAATTGGCATTATTTTTGAAGAAACAAAATCTTTGTTAGCACAGAATGTACGTTAGATCAATTGTCCTTTGCCTGGAAAAAAGAAATAGAAGAAAATTGGTTGGCTGGAACACCAGACCCTACAAGTATACCATCTAAGCACACAGTCTATTCTTGCAATTGGTGGAGGCTTTTCCTTTGATTGGCAACGTTTGAGTCTCACTGTTGATCACTGTCTTAAAGGGTTAGGCAGAAGTATACAGACAACAGCTATACACTCTAAATGGCCATTAAGAACATTGTGGGAATAGCATGGTTTATGCCAACATGGTTTCTCCCAGTTCCAGGAATTCATGGAAAACTGGACCTGTAGATCAATCCTTAGAAAGTTCTTCATTATTCAAACACCACCCTCTCTCTTCATTTGTTCTTTAAGTCCCTATCCTATATTGTGTCTGAAATCCTTCACCAGGCTTTTGGACAAAGCAAGCTTTGAAATCAGCCCCATGCTCTGTTTACTTTCAAGAACTTCCTATGTGTCTGGGCTGATCAGAACACTAATAATATATATTAGAACCTTCCCTTTCCCTCCCTTTGATTTAGGAAGTATTCTTTGGCTCTAGGGGCCCTGAAATAGAAAGAATGAGATATGGGCTTTTATTAGAGCGTACTTTTGTTAGAACCCCAGTCTCCTGTTTCGATTATGATTTGATTCTGCTTTAGTTTTTGTTTGGTGGCATTGCTGGCAGAGTGTTGACAAATTAGCTGTAGCAAAGCCTCTTAGATGTAGGGAATGATAATGAAACAGATTTCAGTGAATTTCAGCAAAGGTATTGCATTCACACTGACACCTGAAATGAAAAGGCAAAAGTTAAAGAATCAGATATATTTGTTTTAAAAAAAACGTGCTTGATTTGTTTTAACACATGTACACATATAATTTGTCTTCTTTAATGCAACAATTTTTTTCTGACTATTGGGAATGCTATTAAGTATGGACAGTCCAGAGGTGGGTTCCTACCAGTTTGCACCAGTTTGGTAGAACCGGTTCGTCAAATCTACCGAACCGGTTAGAAGAGGTTCCACCAGTGGCCCCAGAAAGCAGGCCACACCTACAGAAGAGGTTCCAAAATTTTTTGAAACCCACCCCTGACACACACACACACACACACACACACACACACACACACACACACACACA